TAAATCTAGGCTTGTAAGGGCCAACACAGCCAGCTGCCTCCTGGAGAGATACATTACAAGCAGCTGACATCCAGAAAGAATTGGCACATATAGACTGTAGTGGCATCACTGCCCGGCGGCACTCTGCGCTTCTTGAAAGTGAAACTTCAGAAGCCGGATGCGGTCTGGGGGTGGGGGGAAGTTGAGATCAGCAATGAAGGCAACTTTGGGGTTAAAGCATTCGTGAATGTTTTAACCCTTTAATGTAAGAGTGTGCAGAAGGGCCTCCTGGCACCATAATGACTTCATTTAGATGAAGTTTTGATGGTGCCTGGAGTGTTCCTTTAACGTACAAATTTAAATTTGGAATATACTCGACTGGATTTTTTTTACCTTTGTTACCACATTATAAAATACTACTATAATATTTTGTACTTGCAGTTACATGTAGTTATTATTTTGGCTGATAGAATTTGGTTGGCAAATGTTTAAATTGTATACAAGATATATTTGCTTTGCTCTTAATTCTCTTTGCCATCACCTCCAAATTCCCTCTGCTACCGCTTTACCTTTCGTAGTAGTCTATTTATATTGTATTGTCTTTCCCAATTGTACAGTTCTGTGGAACATGTTGGTGCTTTATAAACGGCAGTAAGAAATAACAACTAACTCTCTAACACTCTAACTCTCTGATCTAGCTTAAGTTTGAGTATTTCTCCCTGTATTTACTTTTTTGTCCTTATTTGGTTTCCGATTTCAAGGAATGAACAGGTGTGACACCGATTTAGTCATGAAATTCTTGCATTTTTATATTTTTGATTAGCCCTATAGACACTGATTTGCTCAATGCAAATAAATCATGAGGGTAGTATTCACTAAAGTACGGAAAGTAGTCTATCTGAAAATGTTTGCCTTCTGTTGTGGCTTTACATTTGCAATACCTATTTCAGGCCACTATACTTCTGGTTTATTGAATAGATTTCAATGTCATTAAAGGGACACCTCACTGTTAAAATACAAATTACATTTGATATACCCCAAACAGAAATGCCTGCATTTAATTTTGTATTTTGTCATTGGGATTATATCTAAAACAGCTTGCAGATCTCTTGTCTACAGTCTTGCATACCCTCCCCTTCTAACCCCGCCCAGACTTTCTGTGGCTGTCCAATCACAGACTTCCCAATGCAGCTCAATGTAAAATCTTTGCAAGGCAGGTGCTCTGGGCAATTGCTGCCTCTTGAGTTTAGCTTCACTGAGCTAACCAAACCAGGAAGTAACAGGACCAGTTGTTTGCATTAAAGTCAGGGGGTGTAACCATGCTAATTTATAAAAGTCACATGTATATATACACGTAAAAGAATCCCACACCACACTTATCTTAGCTAAAACTGCACATCTTCCTCCAAGAATATCTCAGAGAGAATCCCTTAAGCAGCAAAACTCAAAAATATAGGATGCAGCTGTAGATCTATAATACAAAATCTAAAACAGTGTAATACAATACGAGACACTATTCTATGTGCAGACAGACTTACAATCACGCAATGAAGACGTATAATATCGCCTTAGGGAGCCTCCCCTTTGAATTATGGGGGACACTTTTATTAAAGTGTCAATTTCTATTGCAATCGGCACTTTTTGTAAAATGAAATCAAGAGGACACAACTCTTCACACATAAAGCATTTCAGCAAGTTAAACTGCTTTACGGGTCCGGAGTGTGTCTTTAACACTGCGCTTGAATTTTTATTGAATTGATTCATTGCGTTGATTTAAAAATCAAAAGATATTTAAACTATATTTTGGGGTTTTTTTTCCCCCACCTAATTAACTGATGGCAGTAGCTCTCAATGTATTTACTTTGATGTGAACTTGTTTTTGCACCTTTCATTCCTGTACATCTGGCTAGTTTTGTTTGTTAAAGGGACATTCATCTCTTGACATTTTTTTTTTTAAAACCAGCCAGCAAACTCTTTTACACAAATATATACGGTTTTCCACGATAACTACGGATAGGACGCTGATCACTATCCCCCTATGATAGGCGTGGGAAAGGGAGAGAAGAAGAAGCAGGTAAATATGAAACAAAAATCTCAGTTACCTGTTTTTTATTCTGCCTACAGAATGAGACAGTTGTCTCAAAAAGAAACATGTCTCTTTAAGCAACCTATTGTACATCGCTGCTGAATGTGTCGGTGCTTCATAAATAACAATAATAATACATTATTACCTCTAATAGGACTTGCAGTTTATTTCTTTTTTAACCAACGCATCCTTTTTAAAGGTACAAATATATGTGCCTACTCTACTAATCTTACTTCACTTTCAGTATGAGTGATAAGGGTTTTTTCTTATTATTTTAATAGCGATATCTGCAATATGTTTCACACTTGTTGATTCCTTGATTCAAGCTTTGTGCTGTTAGTGTGATTCATAAGATATTTTAGCCACAAAGGAAACCATTCTTTAACAGCCTTGGCATGTTGGATTGAAGTCAGGTATCCATCAAATATCCTAGAGGTTGCTGTCCATGTCCTACCTCAGGGGTAGGCAACCTTTTAGCAGCACTGTGCCGATATAGGATTGTGATGTCCCGTAGCATGCCGGTCCTATTTTTATTAAATTGAGGTGTGTATGCTGCAGTATTCTGCTTGTGTTATTTTTACTGTAATTGCTTTGTATCATTGTATTTGTGAGTATATGAGCTATTATATTGTATATGTTCATTAGTAGTTTGTGGTATCGTGTATGATACATATGAATGTGGGCTGTGTGTGAGGCACTGGCGGATCCAGGGGGGGGGCAACGGGGCAATTGCCCCCCCCGAGAAATCCGCCGGTCTCCCTCCCCTACCAGCAGCACATGCAGGTGCTAGCCCTGCAATGTGCCTGCGGACCGGAGGGGAGATCAGAGCTCTCCCTCCCCGGTCCGCAGGCACCGTGCTTACAGCCGGCGTGGGAGGGAGGGAGAGGGAGGACCCGGGAGCTCAGTCTGCAGCTCCTCCGGGTCCTCCTCTCGCGATATTTGGAGCGTTGCCGCGGTTACCACGGCAACGCTCCAAATCTCGCGAGAGTGAACTCTAGCCCGGGAGCGCGGGCTAGAGTTCACTGTAACCACTGGGACCACCAATGAATCACCACTGGGACCACCAGGGATGAAAATATGTCCCCCCTCCTCCTCCATAAAGGTAAGAAGGGAGGGGGGACATAGAATATTTGCTTTTTTTAATTAAATAAAGATATATATTATTTTAAAAAGCCCCCCCTACCCTTACACACACACACACACATAGCCCCCATGCTGCCCCCCCATACACACATACTGCCCCCCATGCTGCCCCCCCCATACACACATACTGCCCCCCATGCTGCCCCCCATACACACATACTGCCCCCC